CTGAAACCAGGGCAAAACCCCACAGGGCGAGGATGATGTACTGGACCCTGTGTCTAGTCACCACCACATTGCTCCAGAGGTTGAAGCTGATGGCCAGATAGGTGTGAAGGATGGTGGCTGAGGTGCAGCCCTTGAAGATGTGTTGATGGAAGTAGCACACTGCCTCCTCAAACAGTCAGGGCACATACTTCCACATGCAACAGAGGTCAAAAGGCAGCCAGAGGCATATGACAAGGTGAGAATGGCCACGCTGGACAACTACAGTAGATGTTGAGGGTCTTCATATCCTTGAACTCCTGGATGATGAGGATGGTCATGGCGTTGCCTGTCACCCTAAAGACAAAGATGAGAATGCAGAGAGGAGGGGAACAGGGATCCCTTTTAGTGGTAGTTGTCAGTGTTGTACTGGTCCAAGGTCTCTGCTCCACCAGCAGTCTGGTCCAGGGCAAGTCAACCTCCACTAAGCACTACAGCACAGCACTCAATAAGCAGCTGAGGAGGGAAAATCAATCCATTAGTAGACCAAACCTGTGTTTTTTTAAAAATGTATTTACTCTTTTAGACAGCCACTGGATTTTAGTCATTTAGGTAAATTAATCTGTCAGCAGTATCTATAATTTATTCTATAATTTATTGCTCATTTTTGTCAGTTTCACAGTTGTTGCAGGTAATGAAAGTGCAGGTTGTTAAATTATTGCCCTGCATTTCCTTGTATCAATAATGTAAACATATCCACAATGATTACATAACACGTGTGTCTGCTAATTTATTTTTATATTATACAGAAACTAGTGGATGTCTGGAAAAATATGGCAAACAACACGATTAAAAATAGTTTCTTGTAATGTAAAGTCAAAAGTTTGTAGTAAAACAACTAAAACATGCAAAATCACTGGTATGATCCTGACTTTTCTTTAAAAGCTGAGAGGACCAGAGTCAGTTCCAGATACCGAGCAGCCAGGTCAGCTCTGCTAAGATATGAAGAATGGAGCACCTCCTCTACAGCACCCTAAGGAGTCACGCAGCAGGAGGAAGGTTCAAATGATGATGGACGGATGACGGTAAAGGCATAAGATGGAGGAAATAGTGAGAGAACCCCATCACCGCTGCCTCTCATCTGGGAGAATAAATGTAGACTGAGGATCATATTAACCTGGACTGAACATAAATACATAAGAAATACACCCAGAAAAAGGAGCTATAACTGAACTTTATAACTAGAAGCTATAACTGAAATCCAAGTGTGTTTGCTGAGCTGTTTAGAAGCAGTCACTGAGAAATGAGCTGTGTTTTGCCAGAGCTGAAAAATCTTGACCTGGCAAACGAAAGAATTTGTTGATGTGAGGTTCTTGTGTGAGATTTTTCACCTACTGAAGGTTTAGAACCTGGTGTTCAATGTTAGAATACAAGCTTCAATTTTGTGTGTTTGCCCCCCCCCCCCCAGTAAAGTCAGTGCAGTGTTCTTGACTTTACAAGCTATTAATCCACAAATTCAAGCATTTTCAGTCAGATTTAAAGTTTTATTTTGTGCCCAAAGCCTGGATGAACAGCAGCATGTTCTGTTGGTTCAGAGCCGCCATATCCATTAGACCTAAATGAACGTAACAAGAGTCACAATGATATCAGGCTGTATTTGTATTTACACTGAGGTTACCAACAGCCGGATACAACACCTGGCCTGGCCAGTTAACGGTTGGTGGTTAGATCGCTTCCTCTGCTGTAAGACAGCAACTAGCACCTGCTATGCAGTTCAATACATCTTGCACATTGATATAGAACAGCTGTGGACTGCAACTACTGTATGTTTAAAGTGTCCTACACAATTTCTTATCACAGGGGGAGGCTGTGGCGCAGAAGGGAGAGCGGTCATCCCCCACCTGGAAGGTTGGCAGTTTGATTCCCGTTACACATGTTGAAATGTCCTTGGGCAAGACACTGAACCTCAAGTTGGTCCCACTAGCCAGAGCAATGCCTTGCAGGTTCTGTACCGGAGACAAATTCCTTGGCCAGTAAAAGTGATCATCGATTCTCATTATAGCCAATGAGTGACCCAAAGACAAACATACAGAAACTTCAAACATGATTAAGAATTATAAACCTTTTATTGTGCATGGATCCTTTGTAGATATCATGGCTATACATATACACTTTAGATACATATCTATGATTATACATTTTCCCATAGTGAACATTTTAAAGTGATATGTCAATATGTATAGTATAACAAATTGCCATTTTGGAATGTACGGTGTATGAGGCAACTGCAAACATCAAAATTACATAAAAATGGTCTCTAGTTTTGTGCATATTTGACTTATTTTTGTAGCATTTTGTTAATCTCCCCAGCCAAAGGTAGTAAGCCCAGGGTGAAGAGGCGTTACAATGGCACACGTTGCAATCACTATCAAAAATAGGAATTTGTCTTTAAATGACAAAGAGAAGACATTTGCAGAATGTCTCAAAGACCAAATCATGTAATTATCTAAGACGTTTTGCAAAGTACCTGTATTTCATTTTTACGACTGCAACAGCAGTTATCTGCCCAAAACCAAATGACACCAGACCCTACAGCCAGATTACCACCACCACCACCACTCAGCGTTAGCAATCTGTTACAAATACTTAACACACAGAGAAAAGGCAAATTTAGATTCACAGGAAGTACATGATAACACATTTTGTATCGGTCATTTGTAATCCATGATTCATGAGTCCTCATGATTTATTATTTTCTCTGGAGAGTATTAACTTATATTACTTCAATATTATAAAAAAATATACTTCACACATGTATGACCTGACAATAGTAATCGAAATAAATCATAAGTAATACATGGAACTACTTTACATTTATGCCACGATTACGCATATTTACTAACATCCAAAAAAGTAGCGAAAATTAAAGGAAATAAAACACATTTTAGTGTTTTCTAACACTAAAAACACAAAATTTAAGAAAAATTAAGAAGATTCTCCCGAGATTTTTTATTCCTCTCCGATTAAGGCCTCTGAAACAACTGGTACATAATTTCCACCCCCCACCTTTCTTCTTTTTCTTTTTTTTGCTGACAGATCAGCTGTTTCAGTGACACGTTATGTGGTACTACAACTTTTAAAAATATCCAAAACACAAGAAGGGCTTGCACAATCTCAAAGTGTGTTCTATAAAATGCATCACAAGACCAAGACGTAGTCAGTCGAGGTTTTCTTTCACTAAGGTGCAAAATCAGTTACTGGGGAAAACAAACAAACAAAACAAAACATACAGTTATAGGTACAAGCATACATTTTTTGTGCCGAACAACAATATTTCAGAGTAAAGCAGCTGCATGATTGTAAAAACAAGCTACAGTATAACTATATGATAGTAAAAATAATTAGAATTCAATGTTAGTTTGGTTTTTGTTTCTTTTCTAGCTTTACACTGAACGTTTTTTCTTCTTAAACTTACAGGTCCTTGTGTTTTCACTATACAAAAATATACTAACATTTCTCCAGTCATTTTTGCATCCTGAAACATTCTGAACATCAAAAAGGTTGGAAAGTGCTAAATGAACGCTCTATAATGTGAACAAGATTCTCTGTTTCTTCACTCACTAGACCCTTTAGACTCCAGCAAGGGGTTACGTTCCTTCATCTGACCCTGAAGCCCTCCCGTGTACCTCTGTGGCAGAAACTACATACACGTTATACAAATCTGGATAGACACATGCACCACTGTGCAAACACTGGCCCACCAGGTCCCACAATCAAATAGGACATAGGCTAATAACACACCTACATACTATTTTTGGAACACATCTATCAAAAACATACTGGACACATACATGGAAATATAAATAATGATTATTTCTATAAACATATACATATATATATGCACACACACACAGGCACGTGTGCACACGAGAGCCAATGCGCCCTTGTTCCTGACCCTCCTCTCACAATAAACCATATCCCTGCTCGTTCTGCATTCCTTTTGCACAGGAAACTGATCATGATGGACCAGAACTCTGAACTGAACAACAGATGCCACAGAGTCAGGGTGGCTGACAGGAAGGTATCGCAGGTGCTAAATAAGGTGTTAAATTCTCAATTTATAAGTGTGGTTCAGCTCTCATTCACCAGCCCTTCCTCCCCTTACACCCGAATGAAGCTAATGTGATTACTCTGTTGACAACAGAAAACAGTTAAGTACAAAATGAAGAATACAAAACAGAGAGAAGGGGGAAGAATAAAGCTATAACCCTGCAGCTGGGTGGTGCAAACCGCTCATTTAATGACAAAGTACTGGATGACAAAAGCAATGAGGATGGCAATGACAGCGAAAACCATGAGGAGGAGGAAAGCGCACTGCTCATCTGTCAGGCTTCGTCTGGCTCGGATGGAGTCTGTGCCAGCCCTGGATCCTGAGCCGGCCATGCTGCCCCCCACTGCCATATCGTTCCGCTGGGGGAAGAGGGTCACTGTGGGGCTGTAGGGGCCGCTCAGCTCAGGGGCGTCCTGGCACTGCCTGATGGCACACACCCGGAAACGGTATTCGCTGTTGGGCTGCAGGCTCTGGACATGGAATGATGTGGCAGAGCCTTTGTAGGCCTGCGAACAAGCGACAGAGTGAGAAACTGTTTTTGCATCTTTCCATGCATTTCATCACCATATCTGTGATAACACATCACTGACAAAATACTGCAATTTAGTTGCTTTACTAACTATTCCTGATAGAAACCTGAACCTGGTGATATTGGTGAAATTGGGCTGAATTTGTTGAATTGTATTACAATCGTACTGAACAGTAACACTGAAAAAGTCCATCTCATCTTTCTGCTTCTGACCAGCTGGATGAAATTTCCCTTCAGCTCTTTCACGTGGCATTAATAATGTAAAAACAGGCATGTATCCTCTCCTTCAACTTTAACTACTTATCAATTTACAGACTATTTTCTGACTTATTTGTTATGCTGTTCGTTGCCTTGGATGAAGTGGGAAGCCATCTGCCTTAGCTGTTTGCCCAGCTAACACACCCACGAGTTTTTAGAGATCCTTGTGAACCTGATCTGTTTGGTTGCTGCAATGACACTTAGATTTTTTTTTTTTGATGGGTTTTGAAATGCAAAATTCTTAGACTGTCCATGAAACCCTGGCTAACCAACATGAGTCTGGCTGGTGCAAAGACTAATGCAATCTGTCTCAATCAAAGTGGTAGCAAACCATCAGAGTCCAGGCATCTGAGACTGACATAAAGATGGAAACACACTCATGCAGGATCTCAGCCATATATTTCAACTCTCTGATTCAGTTGCCGTGTACAATGTGGTGGTGAGATTAGCATAAAACCCACAGTGGCTGGCAGCGGCTAGACATCAGGGATACCTCCTGGGTCAATGACCTTTGCATAATGTAGATTTTAAAGCCAGTGGCGACTAACGCTGAATGCTACAATGCCATGGTGAAAACATTAAGGCCTTGGATCCATCTCTGTCCTGCACTGCATAAAAATGCTGCTGGGCAGGTCAACAGCTCTTTAAGTGAAGGACACAAAGTAGAATTAACAAACCTTCACACAGCAACATTAGTACCTGTTTAAATTCTGAGTTTCCCATCATGCACTGCAAAGTGTAGATAATGGGGTCCCCCTTCATGGGTGACAGGGCCTCCCATGTGACTTCGCAGGAGTTGTCATCCAGACGCTCCACTTTAGGGGCTGGAGGGTGAAGGAAAGGGAGCAAGTGTTATGTAAGGTGCGCTGAAGCTAGGTGATGTCTGCAATAACCGAACTTCTGCAGCTCGATGCCAAAGTCAAGTATCAACCAGTCAAATTAAGAAAGGGTCCTTTTTTAGGAAGGATACTTAATGTATTACAATATTCACAAGTGGGAATACAAACAACAGCTTTGCCAGCGTTAGTCTTCTTCGGCATCACTAACACCATCCGACAAGTTTGGCAATGTGTGGGTGCTACGTGCATGACACAAGGGCTCAGGGACCTCTTGGACTTCTATACATTATGATGACAGATAATCATTGTAGCATTGTAGCAACACTATTTATTATTTCAGCTTCTTTCTGATGGGCGGTGCCACAGTACTGCCACCGACATGTGTATAAACTCAGTCCGACCTGCGGTCTACTCCATAGATCCTCAGGGACAGAACAGATTAACAGCATTTACAAAGCGTGGCAGTAGTTTTGAAATCTTCAACGTTAAACAGGCAAAGCAGAAGACAAAATCGGCACTGAACTGATGAGATGATTATTCCTATGTGCTGTGAACTTTGTGTTTGATTCAGAGCTTTGGGGGACTTTTGACAGAGTGGCTGCTACAGAAACCATTGGCTTTATTATGAGAGAACTTGCACTGATATGTGCAGTGACTCAGCTGATGAATCAAGAATGAATTCTAGACAAGTGCATGTAACTTCTTCCCCATTCGCAGAGAGTCATGCTCTTCTAAGAGGTGGGTAGCATTTTTAGCAAATAATAAAAATATGATTGTACCAGACTGGTAAAGCGTCCTGGTATTCATGAATAAATACGGAAGCAGCACGATTATAGTCCTTTGTGGCATTATCATAACAGCCTTTATATTTAATGCTGAAATGGTTAGTCTGAATTCAAACAGTTCAGAGATGAGAGGCCACTTCACTGTTTGAAGGGACAAACTGTGCTGGGTAACACTGACAAACTGGCACATGACTGCCTGATTCAAAAGAGGTGCTGCACTGGGGACTAAAACCCACGTCCTCATTACTGACTCCAGTGTGGAGGATCAAAAGAGGCTGTGCAGAGGCTGGATGAGACCAGGCCACAGCAGTGAACAACCCGACTCATGATGACAGCTGACAAGTGAATCTCTGCCTGCTGGGTCTTAATCAAATGCAAGTCAAACGTGGGTCAACTGAGGTTAAAAGCTGAGCACGCTGGCTGTCTGCATGTCAGCAGTAAGTGTTTGTAAAGATAATAAGGTCTGGTCCACATCGAGTAAAGAGAGAAAGGGGTACAGAGAAAGAAAGACAAACAGAAAGAGCTGCCACTGTACCTTTCACAGGGGCTGGAGGAGAGCGTGGGGTGGTGAATGTGTAAACACTGGAGAAGGGCCCTTCGCCCGCCTCATTAAAGGCCTGGATGCGGAACGTATAAGAGGTAGACTCATTAAGCCTCTGGACTTTGTGTGTGTGGCATGGTCCTTTATACAAGGATATAAATCTGCAATGACAGGAACATGAAAAGGAGAGAGACAGAGAGAATTTAATGAACAAAAGGGTAAAGATGGAAAAAAGCAAACGAGACAAGTGACTCCTCTGTCAGGAAATATACTTACAAGGTGCTCTGCTTGGTGCATTACTCTCTGTGTACTCTGCTCTACTTGATAAAACAACTAGAAACTTTGGCCCTAACGCCAGTCTGCTCTCACCAGTTTACCCCTTGCCAGGTCACCTCCGCTTGCCTGACTAAAGGGCCACCCACCTGCCGCTCTTGTCCTCCATCTGCAGGTGATACTGGAGAGCATCCGAAGTGACGGCTTTGGCTGGGCCGTCGCCCCACTTGAGCCTGAGGGTCTGGTGGCTGAAGGCTGTGCACTCCAGGCGGGGTGGCTGTGGGGGCAGGGGCTTTGTCTTCAGCTTAAAGGCGTGACTAAAGGGGCCTGCTCCAAGGCTGTTCAGGGCCTGGATTCGAACCCTGAGGAAGCAGAAGAGATGTAACTAAGAGGGTAACCTAACCTGAGCAGGAACAGTGCAGTGACTGTCACTTTAGCATTAACAGTATTTTCTTCTCTCTCTTGGACAGATGCTTATGTTCGGCTTCTGTTAATAAACAGTCTGTAATGTGTCAGAATGTGACACATCGTATGAGCTTTTGGCTCCGTCTCTGGTTCTGAACATACCCACAATGGCTAAAAGCTCAAAGTCAGCACTTTAATTGATCCCCAGTCTTTGTTTCACTACAGGTCCAATGTGTAGAGCCAAAGCAGTCCTACAGTTGCCAGACTACACTGTTCAGTATATCTTCCACAGTACCGTATGGACTTCAAGTAAACACCATATAATTAAGTCAGTGTAGAATACATCTTGTGCAAGTGACATTTCAGATAATTAGGATTTTATAAATTATCAATCCATAGAAGAGATTGATTAAATCTGTGTAACATCAGTTTCCTGTAAAAATACACCTGTTTTAAGCTGTTTTGTTATTGTGAGTCAAATAAATACAGACATCTGCCAGTCCTCTCAACAATAACTTGGATTTACAAATGTACAAATTGCATTTTGTTTCAGTTGCCCCCTTTAGCATCACAGATGGAGTTAATAAGAAGAGTGCTGCGTGTAATTGGTTTGTATTGCATGCTCTGAGATGTAAGTTTCAAAACTGCCGTCTCATGTTGACACGTGAAAGGCAGAACCGTGCATTGCAGGTGCAATGTGGCACTCTGTAACCCCTTCAGTTTGTAATGAGGAAGTACCAACCTGTAGCTGGTGTCAGGTTGTAGATGTTGGATGATGTATTTGGAGACGGGACCAACGACGATGGGCTGGCGCTCTCCGAGATCAATTAGGTAAGAAGTGATCTCAGAGCCGTGATCGCATGGGGGGTCCCAGCAAATACCCAGGCAGGTAGATGGAGAGTAGAGCGGTGGTGAGAGAGAACTACTGTCCTCGTCTTCATCTGCGTCTACTGGAGTCTCGTAAATTTGCAGCTCGGACTCCTTCAGTGCATAGATGTTGCTGACGGCTGCAGGCACAGAGCAGGGTGTCTGGCACAACACTGCCTCACTGAAGGGCCCCACACCGGCCACATTTGATGCCTGCACAACAGCAAGACCCACGAGTCAGCTATCACGTCAACGCCAAGTCGCACTTGTGACGTGAAAGGATTTATGTGTAAAGTCCATAATTAACCACATGGTGGAGTTCCAATATAAGCCCAACTGGTAACAATGAATACCTTTTCTAGCCAAGACGCATATAGGAAAAAACAAACAAAATTATATTTTTTAAAAAGTAGGACAATACAGGTTAGGTTTTTAATCGACTATAATGAAAATCTGTTTAAAGCTGTGGGGGAAAACCACACTGCATAAGTAAGCAGTGCCTGCCCCCCCCCTTACCTAGTTTCAGACAGCCAGCCTTCACAGACAAGCACACAAAATCAAACCACCATACAGCAAATCTTAAAAATGAACCACCTTCGCCCAGTAGCTTAAATAATTGAAGCAGATTCACCACTTTGCACACTGACGTGAGAAGATCATCATCCCAAAAAAAAAAAAAAATCAATTCACTGTTCACATTTCTTCTCTTCATCGCCAACCAACTAAATCCACAAAGCCATAACCCCCCCAGTGTTAGAATCACGCTTCATCCACTGAGCAATCTGAATATCTTCTTCACAAATATAATCACATAAATGACTCAAATAAGGTTTGTAAGGTGAGATATAATTCTATTTTCAGGTGATGGGAGCAGATGAATATTAAACTAGACCTTATGAAATAAATTAAGTGGCTGCTAATGCTCACCTGTACCCGACAGAAGTAGTTGGTAGCAGGCAGCAGCCCCTTCATTTCATGGCTGAGCCCTGGTCCGCTGTAACACACCTGCATGCAGCCCTCGGCAGCTCCCCACTCTAGACGAAACTCTGTCACCGGAGCTCCATTACAAGGAGGAGCCTAGAAGACACATCAGTGAAAATGGTCATGTGCATCGAACTTGACCACACAGTGTTATTAACAGCAATGCAGTTACATTTAAGTTAACCAATGATTTCTCAGGATGCTGGGGCAATGACAGTGGAGGTCGTCTTACCTCCCAGCTCACAACGACACAGCTGGGGGATCTGCATGTGGTGGAAGGAACCCTGCACTGCTCAGGGGCCCCCGGGCCAGTTGCAACCTCACAACGCTCTGAAGGAGGCCCAAACTATCCACACAAAAGAACAAAAGAGGGTTGAAATCTTCTATCAAAAAAAAACAAAAAAACAATTCCTTCTCCTTGAACTGATAGATCAGGTGTGACAGCCCTTCTCACCCCAGCCTTGTTCGCTGCCTTGAGTCGGAAACTGTAGGTTTTTCCAGGCAGTAGGCCTCCCACAAAGCAATCCAGTTCTGGGCCCTGGTAAACCTCCCTGCTCTCCTCAGACTGTGACCCACTCACTTCTACACTGTAGCAAGACACCGGGCTGCCTCCATCTACCTGAGGGGGACCTAGGAATGTTATGCAACCAGTGTTTATAAATCAATATATTTCAAAGAGGGAGTTCCAAGAAAAAAATAATACTATATACACAAAGATTAATTTACAAACAGCATGATAATACAAATTGCATTATCTAAGCTCACTGCTTAGAGGCAGTCCGTGAGACAAATACATGCATCAACACAAGCTAGAATACATCCCACACAGATTGGAGTTGGAGAGCAATGACTCACCCCAGCGCAGTTGCACCTCCCTGGCTTTGGGCTTGCCTACCAGCCGAGGGGGCTGGCAGGGCCCTGGGGGCACCGCGGGAGTCTGGACCTGCAGGGTCTCTGACAGCTTGCAAGGGAAGACAACACACTAATTAAGACCCAGAGAAAATAACAAATTGACAATTTCACAAACCCACCGCCACACCCCTTGCCTTCTCTCTTACACAATACAAATGCACTGGATAAAGACCGTCAGCTTATCAGACTGACTCAGGCTACAAGAGACCACAAAGGGGACAAATATGAACGCACTGTTCAAGGACACAAAGCATACAGAGAAAAATGCTTATTTCCTGCAAAGCCTTGGATGAAATTAGTCAGTTTGTCTTCTGAGTTAAAAATAGGTCTTTTTCAAACTTCTGTGACAAAAGGCAAATAAAACATGTAAGTTACATTGTGCTGCACCAAAACCCAGAAGCTCCACACCACGACTTATGTTTCTGTATGTATGCACTAACAGATGATGAATAAATTAAGAGTCTCTGAACTGAATAAAACAAAAAAAAAAAACATCCTCTGACACATGCAGGGAGGGTTATTCGATGAATGGGCTTTGCCTTGTACTTACAAACCAGGAAGCATTTATAATACTGGATGTCTGAGATCATTCAAGCTTTTATTGACTTTAAGTAGATTTTATCTTATACAAAACAAACGTAAGTAATAAAATTTGTGTTAAGGTTTTGAATTATCTATATTTAAAAAAAAAAAAACAAAACAAAAAAAACAGGTACAATTTTGGGATCTGTCTGCCTGCGGGAAATAAAATCATTACTGATCAGCAAACTACTGCGGTGAAACACAAGGGCGTGTGTGCGACTGTGTGCGCACGTGTTCTCATGCTGAATGACTCACCGGGCTCTGGCCCCCCTCACTCATGCAGTAAACTCGTGTCTGGTAGGAGCAGCCAGGCTTCAAGCCTTCACACACGTGCTCCGTCGCTGGCCCCGAGTACACCAGCTCCCATGACAAGCCTATGTACAGAAAGATTTCAAATAAATTTAAATGATTTCAATAAACTCAATGTGCAAAACATCATTTTCACTTGTATAAGCATTTGAAACTTACCACTTAAGCCTTCAGACAGCTCCACAACGTACTTTGTGACTTCTGCTCCACCATTATCTTTTGGGGGCTCTAATTTGAAAATAAATAAATAAACTCAATTAATTAATTACCATCAAACTGCAGTAACCATGCTCTTCAACTAGGTTTCCTGGCAATGCCCGCCAACTGAGTTTTCACTGTGTGCACTGATGAAAATCAACAGACTATGCCATATGGGGAGTGATTTCATGACACTTTGTTATTCAAAACTCCCAAGACCCATTAACAAGCATTCCAAGTAGGAAATATAAATATAGATGAAGCACAATTTCCCAGAGTGACATGGCCTTTTTTTGCTCCACAAATCTCGTCATACACTCAATTTGGTGCAAACTAATTTTACACTGTTTTCAGCACTGCAGACACGTTTTTTTGTTGTTTTTCATTTTGAAAACAAGAAGCAAAGACCAAGCAGATCAGTGAGTGATGTGTTTGCTCAGTGAGGCGCAGAAAGAATTCATGCTTATGTCTGAATGAATGGGACAACTGTCAGTCATCTATTGTACAGACTACTAGACATGTTATCCCTCTCTAGCAGATTTATCTAGGGTCAGGCAGGGCTCACTGACAAAACTGAAACTGTAAACTGGCCTTGCCAGGCTGTCAACTACACGGGGTTTTGATAAGGGAAAGGACAGCTAGCAGGAAATGTTCACCCCAGGCCATTTTGAAGCTGTTGGGCAAGACTCTTCCTCTGATGACAGGCCTGCAGGGACTGCCGGGTCTGTCTGGGTTCGTGATGAACTCAACCACCTGGCTAGGGTTACTCTTCCCCTCTGAGTTGTATGCCGCCACCTGTGGGAAGTGCATGAATACAAGCAGTGAGGAATCATATTATTCCTGTTGGAATATTGGCTACTGTTTGCATAGACAGCCAATGAGGGCAAGCATATAAAGGTCATTATGTTTCCTGATAACAAGCACTGCCTAGAATCAGCAAAGGGTAATGAAGGGATCCAAGAGACACAGTGAGCATTACATTCCCTGCCTGTAACTAAAATGGCTTAAGGCAAATGCCACATTATCAAAATGATTCAGCTTCTTAAAAACACATACACATTTCAACAAAATGTTTGGACACCACAAGCAATACAATTATAAAACAAGACAAGACACTTTAGTGGCATTTACATTTCAGTGTAGCATGTGTGCGATAATAAGGAAATCTTTGTGTGCCTGCTGAGTGCAGCTCATCCTCATACTGAACCATGACACACCTGCGCAGCAGCCAGCCTCCCCTCATGCTGCGCAGCTGGATAACTGGAAATGAGGGAGGAAGGGAGTCTTGAGTGACTGATGAACATTTCTACCATTTGGGGATATGATGGTTTGTTTGGGTAACCCATTACCTATCTGTCAGTATTGCGTGTAAGAATGCCGTGGTACAGATTGCTCCGGCTGTGCGAATAAAGCTCCGTAAGTCTATTATGAGTCTATACATTTCTTTGATTTCAGGTTCCTAAGCACTGAAGAGATAGAGAGCATGTGTTGTTGTCACTTGCTGCAGGGAGATATTAAGGAGAGGAACACATTGAATGCCTGTGAAGCAGTTCCCACTGACAGAATGTATTTTCTGAGTACTATATAAACACTGCTATTTAGCCAATCTCACTAGAAGCTGTGACATACAATCATTATGCAAAATTAGTGAAAAAAAAATCATTTTCTGCTCTAAATATAATGGAGGCTGGTGTAATTTTGCATTTTTATTCTTGTCAAACCATAAGAAAAAGAAAAAACCCAACAATGCATTCAGTTGTCACTCAGTACATTCTAATGTTCCTACTCTGTCCCACTTGTTCCTCCTGAACACATGTCTCTAAAAGATTAAAAAGGGCTGAATTAAAGGGCTACATTTCACAGCTGGGCACTGTCGTTTTGCTGATACTCAAACAAGAGGACCTGTTGTATTTGCTGGGAATTCTTTCCGATTCATTAATACAACCCCAAATCAGAAAAAGTCGGAACAGTATGTAAAAACTGAAAGTAATGATGTGTAAATCATCTGTGTCCTGTACCACACTGAAAACAACACAGCAGCACATTGTGATGTGATACCTCATCGTTTTTATTCTGTCTTCAAAATAAACACATTTCTGATGCTGCAACACGTTCCAGAAAACGTTGGGACAGTAAAGCATTTACCAAGGTGTGATGATGCCGTTCCTCTTCACAACATTATGATGTGCAACAAGAAAAAGTTGGGATGGTATGTAAAATCAAAATTAAAACTGAAAGTAGTGATGTGTAAATCATCTGTGTCCTGTATCACACTGAAAACAACACAGCGGCGCATTATGTGATGTGATACCTCATTGTTTGTAATGTGCAGTATGAGGTTTTGCATTGCCTTGTTGAAATATCCATGGGTGTCCCTGGAAAATATGGCATCTTGAAGGCAGCACATGTTGCTGCAGGCTCTCTATGTATTTTCCAGCATTAATGGGGCCATCACAGAAGTGTTAGTTACCTTCACCAAGGGTACTGATACAACCCCAGACCATGACAGACCCTGGCTTTTGGACTTCTTGCTGGTAACAGTCTGGATAGTCCTTTTCGTCTTTGTTCCGGAGCACACGGCATCCGTTCCTTCTAAAAAATACCTGAAATACTGATTGGTCTGACCACAGTACACGTTTCCACTGTGTCATGGTCTATACCTGATGCCTCCGAGCCAGGAACAGTCGACTGGACTTCTCAGCACTGTTGACATAGGGCTTCCTTTTGGCGCAGTACAGTTTTAAGCAGCATTTATGGACGGAACTACGTATTGTAGAGCCTGACACAGGTGTGCCAAAGTCATCCTGAGCTCATGTGGTTATATCACTTATAGAAGAGTGACGAATCTTGATGCAATGCCATCAGAGGGCACGGGCATCCAGCTGAGGCTTGCACCCTTGCCCTTTATATGCACCGAAATTCCTTGAATCTTTTAGAGAGGGTGACATATCCAAATCCATTCCTTTCTTTGCGGACAATTGTTTTTAAACATTTTAATAATTTTCTCACACATTTGTTGCTCCTGAAGGGCTCGGCCTTTCCTGGATGCCACTTTTGTACCAAATCATGGTCGAAGTCACCTGTTGACATCACCTGTTTCCAATGGAACAATCATTTCATTGTTTTACCTCATTACTGGCCCTGAAATTCAACCATCCCAACTTTTTTGTAACGTGTTGCAGACATCAGAAATGAAATGAGTGTTTACTTTGAACATAGAATAAAACCAATGAGGTATCACATCAAATAATGTGCTGCTGTACTGTTCTCAATGTAATACAGGACACATGATTTACAATTCACTATTGTACATACCATCTCAACTTTTTCTGATTTGGGGTTGTATACACTACTAAGTATTTAAAAAAGCAGGACCAGCTCAAAATGCAGTGGCAGTGTTCACTGAAACAAAAAGAACATGTCACTCAGAGGAACAGTGTGGCTTTCTAATGTGTTTTAAATAGGTTTTAGGCAAAGTTGGAAATCCATGGCACAGAGGAAACACACAGGCAATACCAGGTGGGATTAATGCATGTTTGAAAGACCCCGAAACACCAGATGACCTCAGGTTACATCACTGATGATGTGCCCTAGCTATGGATCAGAAGATGTGTCATGTCAAAGATGTGCCCTAGCTATGGATCAGAAGATCGGAAATGGTGGGATTAATGCATTGTTTGGTTTAGTAGCAATACAAAACAAACTTTGACCAGCCTTATCCTTTAAAATACGTTTCATCATTTTTTTTCAGTTGTATATAGAATGAATATATTACAGGAAATCCTAATATGAGCACGTTGTCTCAGCGGTTGTATCGTGACTACATTTACAATGGAACCGCTAATCCCAGCAGCAGAATCACATTTCTACTACTCAGCCCAGCCCACCTATAAAGATTTACATGCAGATGTTATCCAGGCCTTTAATTTAGCGTAAGAAATGATCTCTGAACCTATGCCACCTTTTGTCACTGGATTAACACCGTTCGAGGAGTGTCACGTGTCCCTCTTGCAATGTTCTTTATAACTGGTGAAATTGGCCACCTGTGATTCATCAGAGCCATTTAGTAAACAGTCAACAGTCAGGCGGTACAGCGACAATTAGAAGATAATGCAGTGTTTCCCATACACTGACTTATTTGTGGTGGGCAACCACAATATCAACAATGACTGCCACATATTGATTTATTGATTTAAATAGGATAAATCTTATTTCAGTGTAGTGTTGCGCATTGGGCATGTATTTGCTCATGGGGCCAAAAATATTAGTACCCCTGCATTTCTGTCAGAAAACACACCACTTTTCCCAGAAAACTGTTGCAGTCACAGATTTGTTGGTATTCTCATGTTTATTTCCTTTTGTTTGCATTGGAATGACACAAAAAGTCAAATCTGATACATTCCACAGAACTCCAAACATGGAGTGGACAGACTTATTGACACCTTTTCAAAATCATCAGAAATAGTTGTATTTCAAGCATGTGATGCTCCTTTAATGTGTAATGAAACTCACCTGTAACAATCAGCAGGTGCTGGCAATGTAGAAATCACTCTTGCAATGAGTTAAAACGGAGAAAAGTTGACTCAACCTTTGTGTCTTATGTACCACAACGAGCATGGAGAAAAGAAAGAAGAGCAAATAACTGTCTGAGGATGCTAGTTCAGAAACTCTGCCACTGAATGTCTGGCCCCTCAGTCCAGGGGAATATCAGGAAAAAAAGAAACCACGTGGGAAAGTCCGACTACAGTGATCAGCGAACCAAATGATTCATTTCGAATATTTACTAGTGCTGCTGAAGCAGCATGAGAGGGTCAGAAAATGATGGCTGGAGAGAGAGATGTATGCTGGGAACCCATACACTGACTTATTTGTGGTGGGCAACCACAATATCAACAATGACTGCCACATATTGATTTATTGATTTAAATAGGATAAATCTTATTTCAGTGTAGTGTTGCGCATTGGGCATGTATTTGCTCATGGGGCCAAAAATATTAGTACCCCTGCATTTCTGTCAGAAAACACACCACTTTTCCCAGAAAACTGTTGCAGTCACAGATTTGTTGGTATTCTCATGTTTATTTCCTTTTGTTTGCATTGGAATGACACAAAAAGTCAAATCTGATACATTCCACAGAACTCCAAACATGGAGTGGACAGACTTATTGACACCTTTTCAAAATCATCTGAAATAGTTGTATTTCAAGCATGTGATGCTCCTTTAATGTGTAATGAAACTCACCTGTAACAATCAGCAGGTGCTGGCAATGTAGAAATCACTCTTGCAATGAGTTAAAACGGAGAAAAGTTGACTCAACCTTTGTGTCTTATGTACCACAACGAGCATGGAGAAAAGAAAGAAGAGCAAATAACTGTCTGAGGATGCTAGTTCAGAAACTCTGCCACTGAATGTCTGGCCCCTCAGTCCAGGGGAATATCAGGAAAAAAAAGAAACCACGTGGGAAAGTCCGACTACAGTGATCAGCGAACCAAATGATTCATTTCGAATATTTACTAGTGCTGCTGAAGCAGCATGAGAGGGTCAGAAAATGATGGCTGGAGAGAGAGATGTATGCTGGGAGAGGAGGAGGGCAGCAGCTAACATGCTGCAGCTGTGGGAGAGCCAGCTATTGCAGGACGGACAGATCATAGCACAGACGTAGCCTACTACAGTATTACTATAATTCATTTTAAAAGACCCATGAGCTCCCTTCACAAGTAATATCCAATTCTTTGGGAAACACCAACATGTCAGAATAAAGGGGGGTTGGAGGAGTGGAGGGTATGTGAGACAAAGAAAAAAAAATACACATGGCTCAAACACTTGACTTGTTTCTCACTGCATGTGATCAACAGCAGTGGATTTGTCCTGTTTATGCTGTCTGTTGCCCACCGCCCTGCTGGCAAAACCCTGCAAACAGATGAGTCATTGGGCCACTGTGGGCCTCAGCCCACTCCTTTGCCTGAACCCTGTCCCCTCCACATATAAACACTCTACTGCAGCTGAAATTAAACCTGTGGATCACCAGCTCTGACTGCAAACATCGCAGGGATTCCTTACCCTAAACTTGTACTTGGTACTCCTGTGGAGATTCCTGACAGTGCAGGAGAGCTCATCGCCATCGTAGCTTGGCTGGAAGCCATATCCCTGGCACAAAGACAAATGACGGAAAGCGAAAGAAAACCAGGTGAGCAATGACTTGACAAGACAACCATCGTAGCACAGAAAACAAGGCTTTCTGCAGGAGACAAGCAGATATAGGAGGTAGGGGCACTCCTTTGTCTTTTCTTGACAGGCACTATGTCTGCAGGTAGCTGCTTAAGGTAGTGCAAGTGACAAAAGTGACAGCAGCTATAGACTGTAGGTCACATAACTTTTAGAGCAAACTGTTGGAAGTGTCACAAAAAATAAGAATTTCATTTTCTCTTTTGGCTGGGTTGAAATGAATAGCGGAATGGTAAGGATGGTAAGGATGAACATCAATCAGGAAAATGACTGTCTAATATTAATTGATTATAGATGTAAAAACAAAGTGGAATTTGTTCATGGTTTACATTCACTCCATTTTGCTGCTGCACATCTTCTTTCCAAAGGGTGAAGCAGTTTTGTATCTTCAGCAGCTGCACCCAAAGATGACACTGGTGTGTGAATGGGTGAATGGGAAATAGTGTAAAGAGCTTCAAGTGTGCGTCCATGTGTAGAAACATATTATATAATTTTAAGGCGATTCAACCAGTGAGCAAAGGGAAGGTTCTCACGTGATTGATAGTGATGCATTTTGGTTCACTTGGGTTTTTCTGTGTGTGAAAGGAAACTGAATCTAGGGGGAAAATGGACCAAGTTTACAAAGTGGCCTGTTGATATGGACTACGGCAAATGAACTAGGAGTGTGAAAATGCCCTGCAACAGCAGCAAGCACTTTACAATAAACAATATGTATAATATGTTGCAGATATTACTGCTTAAAGAGAAACATACCGAGCCTTCCTCCTCCATCTCCAAAATATAGAAGATGTCGTCTTCTTTTGGAGAGCTAGTGGGCCTCTGCCACTTCAGACACAGCCAGGTCACCCCCGCCATCTCCAGCTCTGGAGGGAAGGGTGGCAATGGCACACTGCATGAGGTGAACAGGTCCACCACTTCACTGAACTCACTGGGGAGGGCAGAGAGAGACAGAGGATGGGAGAGAATGGGAGAAAGTGACAGGAGAGGCAAAGTGAGAGACACACGTGCATAAACAGAGGGAGACAGTGAATGGAAGAAAACAGTAACATAAAAATGGACAACAGGGAGGGTGCCATCTACTAATAATCTACTATAGCATGTCAAGGCACCTACCTTACACCCATGTCATTTTTGGCTGCAACACGGAAGGAATATCTTGAAGCTGGTGAAAGCTTGGTCACTCTGTACTGCTTCTGAGGCCCATAGTAGCACTGTGCATAAATCCCAGTGCCCTTCCCCTTCAGAGAACAAAGTCTTTACTTTAGAGAACAAGTAACTCAAAATTTCAACTGCACAGAAAACAGCTGGTTTTGGTGCATATGTTCAACATTTCTTTAAAGATAAATACCTCATCCCACTCAAGGACGTAGTTTTGGACTTTGGAACCGTTGTCACATGGAGCCTGTAGATCAACCAAACATAGTTTGACTATCACATTTCAATCAGGCCTGGTTGTAATAAAGTCTTGGTTCTCAAATAATTTTCTCAAACTGAATAGTAATAAAACTGAATTTCTTTTAGTAGGTACTAAATCAATTCTATCCAAAGTAGACGGTTTTTAAATTTCCATCGATAACTCTTCTGTTTCCCCCTCCCCTCTGGTTAAGAGTCTGGGTGTTATCCTCGACAGTACCCTCTCATTTCAGAGCCAGATTAATAACATTACCCGGTCAGCATATTTTCATCTACGTAACATTAATCGCCTCCGTTCTTCTCTCACTTCTCGTACCACTGCGATACTCGTTCACAGTTTGGTCACCTCTCGCCTTGACTATTGTAACTTTCTCCTTTTTGGTCTCACTCACAAATCCCTCCATAAACTTCAACTGGTTCAGAACTCTGCTGCCCGTATCATTAGTAAAACCTCTTCTATCCATCACATTACCCCTGTTTTGAAGCAGCTTCATTGGCTGCCTGTGCTGTTCCGAATTAATTATAAAATTATTCTTTACACCTTCAAAGCTATTCACGGTCTCACACCCTCGTATCTGTCCAACCTTATTCATATTGCCATTCCCTCCCGTTCTCTTCGTTCTGCCTCTTCTCTTCATCTTGTTCTTCCCTCTGCCCGCCTTACCACTATGGGGAGCAGGGCATTTAGTCGCTCTGCCCCCCCGGCTTTGGAATGCTTTACCACCCGACATTCGTAACATTGACTCTATTCAGCATTTCAAATCCAGACTCAAAACTCACCTGTTTAGTGTCGCCTATCCCACCTAATCCTCATTCTTTGTCCTTCCTCACATCTTAACCTTGTCCTTTGATTATTTTATTTTGTTGTTTTATTAATGGTATTCTATTTTTACTTTGAGTTATTTGGTTTTATCTTATTTATTGTATTGAACTGTACTATATTGGTGTCTGTGCTGTACGGCGACCTTGAGTGCCTAGAAAGGCGCCTTTACAAATAAAATATATTATTATTATTATTATTATAATTATACACTACCAGTCAAAGGTTTGGACATGTGCTCCCATTCAATTCACTGGGAAAGTGTGTTCAAAGTTCTGACTGGTAGTGTGTCACAAATCTATACACCAGTAATTTACTTATTCTTTTTAAGTATATGCCTACTGACAGGAAAATAATATTTCATAGACAAAGCAGAAGAGCATAGTGAAAGAAATGTGGGAAGTTTTGAGATGGCTTCAGCATCACCATCCCAGTGTTTCCTATGGATCAAGAGGTTCTGAGTGGGGGCAATGTCGGCCACTGGGGGGTGGGTCCTCTGCCTGAACACTTACCTCTCCTCATCTGTCCCTCTCTGAGCTCTATCTTCAATCACTAATCCACGTTCCCTCTCTCTCTCTATGAAGGTGAACAGACACTTAATAATTATAGAGTTTAACATAGGCTAGTTATTTTTCAGTGACAGTTTTTAGTGGTTGCTAAATTAAGTCCTCAACAGTTCGCCAATCTCAAACAACTTCAAACAACCTTGTACTGTAAAGTTACCTTGTACTTCAACCAAGAAGGTAACCACAGTATGACTGAAAGCAAGACGTGAACAGTGTGTTCAGCGTCAGAGCAGCTGTCAGTCATCAGCTCCTGATGAGCTGGAAGGACAGCGGACAGACAAACAGTCTTCACCGGGCCGACCGACAAGAGAACACATTTGATAGAATGGAATTCTATGTGTTGCATGAAAAACATGTTTAAAAACATGCTCTATCTGAATTGGCCTTAACTGCACCTATGAATGTGTCAGAGACCAAACAGTAATGTGCCTTACTAAAAACTCACACCTGGAAGGTGATGTGTGCCACCACTGTCTTTTACTGCTGGCAATGGAAAAACTCAAAGGAAGCCATGGATGATAAAGCAGCACACTAAAGGGGACCTCAGGAAAGATAGTTTCTGAATCACTTTATGGGTTTTAACCTTCCAATTATTTTTCACCTTCCATTGGAGTACGAGTGAGTTCTTGGTCCCGCTGGCCTTCCTGGGAGGGTTGGGAGGATCCGGCTCACAGCTTAAAGTAGTGAAGCTCACAGCCTCAGATGGGCTTCCCTGTAAACAGTTGCGCAGGGCCTGGACCCTGAGCAAGTAAGAGCAAAACTGTTACACACTATTCTTTGGATCATTAACACTGTAGTTAAAACAAAGGCAGGGAAGGTTATGCCAACCTGACATGATAGTCTGTTGCTGGTCGAAGGTCTTCTAAAGTAGCACTTAGTTCTTCCCCACTGCATGAAAGAAAAACAAGCAAACAAAAAAAAAACACAAACACATCCTTTAGTGTGGTTTCAAATAACTGAAGTAAAATCTCTAATGTAGCTGGTGTTGAGCCTTGTAGCATCCTGCTGCTTGTACTTACCAGTACACGCTCTTGAACTTCCCATCTTTGCCACTGAATGAGATGGAGACCTCGTAGCTGAGCGGCTCCAGGGGGCTGCGGTCATTCTCCACACTGCTGCTCTCACTCTCTGGCTCGGTGGGTGCACTCCAGCTCACTACTACTCCTCTGGCTTGGATGTCTGACACCTATCATATCAAGGTATCAAAAATCACATTGCTTGGTAGAGGAAAAGAGAGAGAGATCAAAACATTCAAGCTGGTGGCACTTTGGAAAAAGGTTTTTCAACACTTGGCAGGGATGTGATGTGCAACCTTAAGATTTGTCATTCTGTTTTGAGGAGGCTTAAAAATAGCCTCAGCTACACTGCAGGGAAATTCATGTGTGGAAGAACTCAATCAGGTCAAGTCTGCACCTCCTCCTCCCACCTTACTACTTTTCAATTCTCAGTGCTTTAACAAACTGGTGTAGCAGCAAAGACGGGAAAAAAATACTTTCAACTGAAATTTAACTTTCCCTGTATTAGATATCAAACCTTAACTATAACCATCATCTCTTTATAGATTTGTTTTGCAAGGAGTTATACACTGATTTCAGACCTTAGTAACAGCGTATGATAAATCCGTAAGCATTTGTCATAGATGTCAAAAGAACCCAGCACATTTGAACTAATCCAGATTAAAATCATGCAAATTGTATTAATTAGATAAAGAAACATATAGAGAAGTGAATACAAACCACTGGTTTACTGATGGTACTCAGGAGAGCTTGCAGGGCCTGAGCTTCCTCGTCAAGCTCTGAAAGAGAAATACAGGTAAATGTAGATAGCATAACTGTTTGCATGAAATGAAGACTAAACTGAGAAAAAAAATAGACATATGACAAATAATAACATGCCCATTAGAGGCAATTCAGACGCAATTGTTTCTGCTGGATTTTGTGTGCACTGTTATATCTGTCTTGCTATTGTAACATTTCTGAAAGTCCTGTATGTGTGCTTATTGTACAGTGTAGTAATGGATGTAACTTCATCATTTATGCCCACTTGTAACAAAATCCAACAACTTCATCTTCATCAAAAGGTTAAGAAAAGGTAACTGTACAAATTTAAATATTATATTCCTGTGTTGCTACATTTCAGCAATCTTCATGAGGTCAAATTACTTTTTTCTCCACTTACAAAATTGACAGTACTTCTTAATTGTGCAATGGTGTCACCAAGCGGCATTGTTAATGATTAATGAGCAGTCAAAGAGTTCATGTAATCAAGAATAATGTTGGCCATGTTACTGCTCCCTCACTGCCACCAGCTGCTACAGCTAAACTGAGGCACTATTCTCAGCACCTAAACACAACATGCTCCTAACATCCAAAAAAAGGTTTTCTCAGCCCTATTGGAAATAGACACCTCTACCCTTTGACCTCTTTACCTCTTGATTCTCCACTTTTTCCCCCGCCCGTCTGCTTGTCAGGGCCAGCCAGCGCATTGCTAAGCTGCCCCTGTTCCACCTCCAGCCCTTTGCCCCCAATGCCATTGTGAACATCCACCTTTGGGGGGCTGCTGCAAGTTTTCCGTGGTGAAGAGGGAGGGCTGTCTTTCAACGGCCCTCCGCCTCCCTGACGCTCTTTCAGTTTCTTCTGCAGACGTTCGTATGTTTTGCTAGTTCTGTCGTCTCTGTGAACAAATGGTGGGCGTCCATGTTGGGAGTGAGAATCTGCAGAGACTAAGGAACAAAAAGATAATGTGTAAGTTGGTAATGACACAGACAGGATTACAAAAAGGGCTGTCTGGCAGTCAGGCTAAAAAAAATGACAAACTCAGAAGTTACTTTGAGAAGAACATACAAATAAACAGCACAGTAGTGAAGTAAATTCCCATAAGACTGAGAAACTGAAAGACTAAACAGTTTGTCTCATGCCCTGATTGTATGACTAGACTGTGGAAATAATATGCTGAAAACAAACAAACATCTCAATATAAGAATATAGTTCAGACAGCCAACTCACCCTGCTCTGAGTAAATATGAGCTGGATGATACTGGCTGAGACCCCATGCCGCCCACGCCCCCTGCCATACTTGTGTACAAGTGGGGTGGCGGGGGCATCATGGCAGGATGTGGGATGAAGGCAGGCAGGTGGGCATGGGGTGGGGGTGGAGGGTGGTGGAGAGGGGAGTGGCCCCCTGGGTGGAACTCTGGTTGCTGAGGTAAGACCAGAACCCGCCGCACTCCATTTTCTTCTATGATCTAAGAGGCAACAAACAGGAGCGTGGACAAGCAGATTTCAAACCTGTACAGAGTTTGACAAAAGGCCAAAAAGAAACAATGGACTGGAAATAGCATAGAATGAATACCTGTGAAATATATCCAGGAGGCACATAGATTGGAGGCACTGAACCATTTGGAGACATCATGGGAACCTGAGCAGGACCTGGGAAGAAGGAAGAAGTGAGATCAAACACCCTACCTCAGGCAAACAGCTGTGTCATCTGTGGTAAACATGTTGAGAGCGTCCAAGTAGTGCTCAGGAACTCAAACTTCAATCCCAGTCCGGCCCTAGGTCTGGGCCGAACAGCTAACAAATATTACAATACAAACCTAGTTTTTATGCCTCACACAGTACTCTCCACTTTTTAATCAGAGACTTATTTCAGTAGTTTCTTATCTTTTGTATTACCGTCCACTGGTGTGCGAGTGTGGGTGTTCGTGAGTGCAAATGGGTGAATAGGTAAACAGTGTGAAAGCACTTTGAGTGTGCTTAAATACATAGAAAAGTGCTATACAAGTCAATTTACCATTTACTGTTCACCCAAGCCTTGAAAGTGCTGTGACTGCCAGTCACCTTAATCCTTGTACACAGATAATAAATGGACTACCATAACTCCTCTCACTTCAGCGCCTATGGCATATGACACTTGGCAGGTTTTCACTTGAGCTGACCTCTTATTCCTCTGTAATGGGAAAATCCCTGTATAGTTGATTCTCTTTTCTAAACCAGCTGCATTTATAATGACTATTCCATTTTCTGAATACCTGAGTAAGAAAAGGCAGAGAAATGCATTTTACTGACAAATGCAAGAAGACCACTTTACAAAAGTGCTGAGAAATAACAATTTCCTGTGCGGCTCTGTTGTACGGGCCAGTGCAGTTGCTTAGCTCAGCTCAGAGAAGTGACAGCTTAGCAGAAAGCCGGGGAGAGACGGGGACTTCTGGGCCAAATCTGCACATTTACACATCTTTTGTTACAAACCCAAGATATAAACACTGAGGCCCCAACATCAGATGCTATGCAGGAGAGCAAAAAGATGCACAACACATGCTGACCTCCAAGTGGCATACTTGAGGAAGAGCTTCCCTTCATTTTGTCAAAGCTGGTGCAAGCAGAGAGAAAGCACTTCTATACAAGCATTAATGTAGCCATAATGGACTCATGGCTACAGAGGCCTGCCAGTGTAATGATACAGTGAAACTGCCCCTGGCTAACACGTAGCACCACCCACCAGGTGCTGAAGTCCAGACTCCAACTCTCAGGGGAGGGAAACAGCCTGTGAGTGTTGACATGTGAACAGCTGTCAGTTTGTTAGGTAAACCTAGCTCAAATTAATGCAGTCTGCCACATCAGCCCTACAATATATCCTAATACTGTAACCATTATAAAGTTGAGCTAATGTTGAAACTGTTTTAAAGAGGTGCTGATTTAAGTTTTTGGTCTTTTTGGAGGCTGAAGTTTGTGGTGCTATTAAATTGTATTGCACTAAAATGACAGGTGTTTTAATATTCTGCCCACCTCAGGGTAAACTAAATAAGAAAGGCCTCTTAGCATAATGTTGTACCGTATTACACCACAAACTATAGTCTACAAAATGATCATAGAATTGAACCAACAAATCTCTTATCCAGTTTAATATTATAACTTTCATGAAGGGCTGGTGTACTGGGTCACACTCTGTTAGCTTGGTGTAATCAACGAACAGCGTGTACACTTCAACATAGAATCACCCGCCCACAGTTTACTGCTACACTCAACAGCTCAAAACAGAGAAGCCATGTTTGCAGTGCAATATAGTAGTTCAAGTAGTGATGTGCACTCAAATTCTACCCTACCATTCCTTAGAGCATTTCATAGCACATTAGTGCCTTATCCTACTCACTTAGTGTACCATGATCATATGTATCAAGAGGAATATACTGTATTCATTCATTTATCTGCTAATAAAATAACACAAATAGCAGGTGGGCCTCTTATATTGACATCAACAAGGTTAAAGACTGAATAGACTCAGTAATTTACCTAAGTTAGTGCTACTGATGCTCACTAACAGGAAATCTGATGAATCAAAGCAGCCAGTATGTCACTGTTTGTCCGTTTGGAGTGAAAGACTTTTGTGTGTACCGACTTGGAAAGCACAGGGAGAAGGGCTAGCAGAAAGCACAGGGAGAGAAAGGT